TCTACTTGTTCTTCAATAAATTTTCACCTTTGCTATTTAAAAAAAAAAAATTTGCCATTGAGATCAAAGAAAATTTTATATTTAGAATAGGATAAAATTTTCCCCCTCTAGAAAATAGGTTTAAAGGACTTTATTTTTACTTATGTACTTAATTGTCACATGAGGACACACACACATTGTTTTTAGAGATGAGGGGATGAGGGGGGAGAGAAACATCTATGTGAGAGAGAAACATCACTCAGTTGCCTTCCTGTAGGTGCACCAACAGGGATCAAACTTGAAGCTTATGTATGTTCCTTGACTGGAAGCCTTTCAGTGTTTCCAACTGAGCCCCACTACTCAGGACTGAAAAGCAGATTTAATATGAAACCACATTAATCAGGCTGGGATAGTGCAAGTTAAGGCAAAAAGAAAAATTATACAATGCCTTATCCTTGTTTTACTTGTACCTGGTAATTATTGGTTGTAGGTAATTAAGTTGGAGTAATAATAAGGAAGCCTCTTATTTGTGTTCTATAAACAGGAAGCACAGTCCTATGCAGATGACAACAGTTTATTATTCATGGAAACATCAGCTAAAACATCAATGAATGTAAATGAAATATTCATGGCAATAGGTAAGATTAATTTTCTTTCAAACTACAAATATAGGCAAAACAAATTATACTGGAATGTTTTTAGTTTGACTCTTATTTATCTTTTATTTTAAAAATATTCTGATTTTTAAAATATTTTATGCTTTTTATTGGTTTTTAGAGAGAGGGGAAGGGAGTAAAAAAACAAACATCAAAATATTTATGTGAGAGTGTAACATCTGTCAGCTGCTTCCTGCATGCTCCCTGCCAGAGATCAAGTCTGCAACCTGGGCATGTGCCCTGGCCAGGAATCAAACTGGCACCCTTTTTGGTACACGGGATGATCAATGCCCAATGCCCAACTAACTGAGCCAGGGCTAGTTTGACTCTTCTTTTTTTTTTTTCTTTGACTTTCTTTTTTCTTCTTCTTTTTTTTAATTCTGTAATTATTTTAGATCCTTTTTACCAAACACAAACATTCCTTACTCTGTTAGTAATATTGTCAAATTTGAGAGGTTGATACCTATCAGGTTGTAATACTTAAAGCATAGTTTCTTCTGAAACTATAGAAGTCTGAACTTTAAGGTGATAGATTTTCTAAAGATTTCACTGAGGATAAAGTGTGTTTCTATTAGTTATACTTTTTATATAAAAGGTAATAAACTTAGAGCCAAATTTTTTAATGCAAATATTGTAATAAAGTGTCAAAGCATGAGGCACAGAGAGAAAGAGGAAAAACAAAGCACCATTTATGCTTTACGTGACCTCAATGGTCATTCAATCCTATGCAGCACTCTCACCTTTCCTTTAAGGTACTTTTAATTGATTATGATTGCTAGTCCACTATTGTTGGAGTAATGAAGTTGGAATAGTAATAAGGAAGTTTCTGTCTGTAACAAAAATAAAAATATTTCTGTTGACTCTAACCTTCCATTAGTTTTAAGGTGCAGATTCTATGGGAAGGGTATATTTAGGTGGCTCTCACAATTTTCTGCCTTCACTCTATTGATGTGCCAACACTCTTCTTGTCCCATAACATCTTTCATTAAATAGCAGTGATCATTAACTGGGTGTCCTCATTTCTATGCCCAAATAAGAAATATTTTATATTGAAGTCATACAAATTAACCATGTAGGAGCCTTGAAAAAACTCAGAAAGTTGTAAGTACTGTCATAATAGCTGGAACTAAGTGAAAGAATTTAATGGTGGCTCACTTAGAGAAAAACTGCTGTATAAAACGTTTTCAAGAAACTCAGGCTCATATTTATTAAGGAAATGCTAGCATAGTTGTGAAGGATTGTGTGGCAATATGCTCTTTTTATAAATGGGAATGATGATACCTTGAACCACATCTCAAAAGTTAAAAGGAAACAAAATAATAGGCCCTCAAATCAGACTGAATTTTTAAAGCTTTCTGATGGTATTAAGACTACCAGAGGAGCTTAATTTAATTTTTATTTTTTATTTAAAAGTACTAGTAAGGTCATTTTTTCCCATCAGAAAGTAGCCTACATACTAGAATTATCAATGACTTTGCTGAAATTAGAATCCTCCTTTATTTGAAAGAAATGGAAAAGCCATTTCTTTTACTGGAATATAACTTAAATCACACAGTACATTCATATTTTTACTTAGAAGACTTCTCAAAGGGAGTACTCTTATGTCGTGGAAGAGTTTTAAATAAATTTATCATCTATTCTTAATTTTATAAGGTCTTGAGTGGCTTCTTGTTCATTTTCATTAACTTGATGTAGGATTTTTCTTTTCTCACAATCCTAATCAATTTAGAGACAGATTGGGTTAGCTGGTTGGCCATATATAAAACAAATAGTACCAGTTTCACTTTGGTGACATTCAATAAGATATAAGACAGGAGACACCTTTTGAAATTTCAAAAATTATTTTTGTTTATCGTCCCAGTAAAAATTAACCATTCTGGTTTATTTTCTTCAGCCTCCTGATTCCACTCATATCTAATTACAGGAAGCCCTTGAGGAAGTATGCTAAAGAGTGAAATGGTCACTCTGTCAGAAACCTAACTTGACATTAATTATAATAAAGTTTATAATGGTAGCCTATTCTTTGTCCTGTGAAGCTTTGTGCATACAGCTGACTAGAAATTTACCATTTTATCATTTACCCCCATCTATAGAGCAGTTCCTAGAGAAGTGCCCTAAGGTGATGGCTTTTCTTCCAAAACCCTGATGCTCCTGGCTTTCAGATCAATTGCCCAGCCCAGTATCTAGAATTCTAAAGATTTATTAATGCTGATGTGAAATATTACAACAAATAAACGATAGAAAATCCAAGACACAATTAGGCGTTCAGATTTTGAAGTACAGCATGTTGTGCAAACTTAGCCAAAACTAAGATTAAGTTAAGAGTCTTACCATAGTAGTCCATACCCAAGGTTGATAGAGACCAGTGTGTCTAGCTACCCATACAATCTGTACTCTGAGAGATGTTTATTATTTAATGAATCCAGCACATCAAGGATCTTCAGAATCTAAATAGCTGACGTCTAATCAGTAGGAGCAGTGCTACAGAGAACAGCATTGTATCGAGCTTAGCAGAGCTAAAGCCATAACTACTGGTTAAGGGGCTTTGTTCAAATGAGGCAAGTCATGCTCATCTGTCTGAAAACTGGGAAATGGTTTTTGAGAAAGCCACGCATGCATTAAGTAGAGTTACTCAAGAATCAGATTAGTATTCTTACTCAGTTATAAGAGAGAAAAATGGTAAGATATTTGAAGGGTAAAATCTGTGTAAGCTAGGAAGAAAATAGGAGTTGTTATCTGTTATAATTGGTTAATAATTAGATTGCACAGCAGATGACAAGTTCTGCTGGGATGATGGCCATGGTATTTGTTTATATCCCAACTTGTTCCAAAATGTGCTTGTGGCATTCCAGGGAACATTGATAGAAACTGAGCTTCTTTATAAACATTACAGATTTGTGCATTGGTGGGGTCCCTCGGAGTGGCCTGCGGGAGGATCAGCTGAAATCAGCATGTAGTAGTGCGCAAATCAGCAGGTGGCGGGGGTGGGGAGGGTGCCACGCATCTCCTGCTCATCTCAGCTCCACTGCGCCTACCACCACTGCAGCTTGGTAGGCTCACTCGCCCAACATGAGCCTGAGCCCAGCATCTGGCGCCCATCTGTCAGCTGAACGGCACTCCTGCTGTGGTAGTGCATTGGCCACCAGGGGGCAGCTCCTACGTTGTGCATCTAACCCCTGGTGGTCAGTGTGCATCATAGCGACTAGTCGACTGGTCACTTAGGCTTTTATACATATAGATTGACTGGCTTCACTTTTTTCTTTTATATATATATATATATTTATTTATTTATTTATTTATTTATTTTTTGATTTTTTTTTTTTAAGAGAGGAAGGGAGAGAGATAGAGAGATAGAAACGTCAATGAGAGAGAAACATCGACCAGCTGCCTCTTGCACACCCCTCACCAGGGATGTGGCCACAACCAACGTACATACCCCTGACCGGAATCGAACCTGGGACCTTTCAGTCCACAGACTGACGCTCTACCTGAGCCAAACTGGTTTCAGCTGGCTGTCACTTTTAATATAGATTTTCTTTAATTAATAGAGATATTGATGATTATGAAATAAAGTACACCTTTCCTAGGATTATTAAGTGAATCTACATAAAAGAATTTCATATAGCTTTAGTGTTAAATTTTAACTGTGTCAGCAACTGGTCCTCATTTTATCCTTCCATCAACGCACTAAACTCTCAGGACAGTGACATGTTTTGATATTTAGTGGATACTCAATAAACATTTGAAAAGAATGGACATATGATTATGTGATACTTTGGGTTAGCCTAATTAGAAAGGAAGATTATCAATAAGCAGGTGGACATGTTCTAGTATGAATATTCTAATTGTGTTTATTTTAATACTTTATTTCTCAGCAAAAAAGTTGCCAAAGAATGAACCACAGAATCCAGGAGCAAATTCTGCCAGGGGAAGAGGAGTAGACCTTACTGAACCCACACAACCAACCAGGAGTCAGTGTTGTAGTAACTAAACCTCCAGTTTGTACTAGCTGGAATAGTCTTCTGCTTCCTAAATGTAATAACCATGGAATTGGAGCATTTAACCAGCTCAGTATGACTTCCAAAAAGAAGAGACTTATGATAGAGTCAAGTTTCCAATACAGAATTATTTTAAGTGTTTTGAACTTAATTTTTAATGATATGCATGTGACCCTCTGACTAATGTTTCAGCAGAAGGGGGAAATGAGAGCTGTGTATACTTGTTTCCTTGGAAGGTTAGGGGGAATCATTTCTCATCACCAGAGATATAGGCAAATGACTATCTGAACCCACAGTTAACCAGCCAGTTCTACGAAGGAGATTTCGAACTTAATTTGAGCCTTTCAGAAACACTTTTTTTTTTAGAAGAAGGTTCTAAAGATATTTATGCTTAGCTATAGTATTTAGGAAACCAATAATTTCTCATAGTATCCATATTTAAAGTGTACATTCCACATTTAAACAAATTAGCTACAAGAAAACAGTCCCACATATTGGGGGGGCAGGATAGGGGGTGAGAGGAGTGAACATTAGTGGCATCTAAATTGCAGGCAGTCCTCTTATTTTTTAAAATGGGGTAAAAAAAAAAAAAAAGGAAAAAAGTAACCCCATCTTGTTTTAGGAATATGAAAACTGATAAAAGGCATTGTAATGAGTAGTGTTCCCTCTGAAGGTGAGCTCTTCAACAAAAGTGAAACAAACCAAGTGTCTGATTTTTGTTTAATCACTGCAGGCCATTTTATCAGTTTTGTTCAGGGGCTTGCAGGGGGCTTTTGTTCCCTTTGGTCATAATATAGTTAACGCACTAACAATTATGTACATTCAAACTTGATTATTTTAAATTTGATCTTCAGCTGTACTGTAAATAGGGTACTGCATTGTAGTCTCCATATGTTCATTACTTTTCTGTAATATTTAAGAGTTGCTTAAAAGTATACAAAATGTACAGTTACTAAAACAGCTAATTTTTCCTTCTTGCCTCCTTCCAAAGGAAGGGGCTTCAGAACCGTAATAAACAATGTACCAGTAATTTGTAGCGTAAGTATTTCGACATGTTAATAATAATCTTGCAGCCTTATTTTCCAAAGTTTGTTTATTTTGATCAATTCAGTATATTGCACTAATTGTTTTAGGTATTTTCATTATATGAAATCTACCATGTGTCAGAAATGATTTAATCTATTTAAGTGTTGAACTGCTAGCAGAACTTGTACATTTACAGTAATTCAGAATTAGTAAGGAAACAGTTCACCAGTGTTTAGTTTTATATTGAGGTGCTCAGGTTGGAATAAAGTGGTATAAAAAGCAGTACTGGTTTTTCTCTTTTTTTTTCCACTGGAGCAGTGAACATATATAAATAGTATTATATAACTCAAAAATCTGCATTTATATTTTCTTTACTACATTCTTAAAAATTATTTGTGTGGTATTGATGTATTATCCTAATATCTGGTTCATTGAAGAGTTCTTCTTTATATTTTTGTATTCTGGATAATCAGAACTTTATCTTTCATTTCAGAAACTGATATTCACTTCCATTGAGAAGTATTACCATAACTGTAATGTTGTCTCTGGAGCCAGCCACTAAAGCAGCACTTACAAGTCCATGGCTGATATACTCAGCTGCAGCTTCATAGAAATGCTTGGGGTATATTTTTTGTTTTTCAATTGAATCTCCTGGCACACCACCTTCATGGGTTGGCTTATCAGTTGCTTTCTCACTGCAAGTATCACAATTAGTCATTTCTGGTAGAAATGTTTGTGTATTTTTAGGATCACGGGTGAAATTCTTAGAATTTTTTACACTAGACAATTTTTCTTTTAAATTTGTACTTGGCACCCATTCTTCAGATTTACGCTGAAACGATGTGTGGGTATTACTTTCTGGTTCAGTAGCCTTTTTTCCAAAGACTGGGGAAAACAGAGAATCTTTGGTTAATCTTTTTTTTAGGTTAAAATAGTGTATTTCTTTATACATTTGAAACATTGTTATTGCCAATGCAGTGACTTCCTTTTTATCCAGAACTTGCCAAAGTCCATTAGTAGCTAAGATAAGGAATTGACATAAGTCATCTATAGGGACAGACAATGTTTGAGGTACTGGAATAATGAAATTTTTCAGTTTGGGATTTCCATGAAATCCAAGTCCTCTTGTGGTTTTTGTTTGCCCTTCTAGGAGTCCATATGGTTCATTTGAACTAATTCTTGCTCCATTCTCAAGTACTCTTTTTTTTTCCTTTTTGTTTCTCAGAGTATGTTCTTTGGTTAAGCAAAAGCCTTTTCCATTTCTGCATAAGACTGCTTGTACATTACCTAAAAGATTATCAGAAAAAGTTGATCCTAGAGATTTAATAACCAATTGTATCAGAGTATGCTATTAACTTTAATAATTATGTGTTTCAATGCATAAAGTAAACCATCTGAAAGTATTTTAAAATGTGTAATATGGATGATTTATAGTCAATAAAACTGAGAGGCCAGTTTATTCCTAGTTTTAAAGCAATTTAGTGTTTAAAATACTGCATTTAGTATTTAAAAAACTAAAATTACAGACTCTGAATATGAAACCACTTCCAAATGTTATATACTTTGTAGAGCCAAAAGTTGAGCTTTTTTATAACCAATATATATTCCATAGAGCAAACATTTTTAAATATTTAAATAAATGCCTTTTGTTTAAACACAAAAATTTTGATTTTTTTTTAAGTGGAATTTGATGATTTTGTAACTGGTAATGTTAAAAACTAAAATACAGGAAGGTGGTATGGGTGATGAAAAAAATTAAAATATGACTTCATGCCAGTCTAGTTAAGTTCCTGATGTGTATGGCTTAAAATAAATTAAGTCACAGCCTTGTGAAGAAAAAAAGGGATATGTGTTGTTAATGCATTAGATGGATAATAGCCAAAATGAAATTAAACCCTTTGATTGTAAACTGAAATCCTAAAAGTTGATTATAGTTTGTTCATCGTTCAGATGAACCTCATATGTGTGCATCATTGAAATCTTAAGAAAATAAACAGTGCTCTAAACAGATTGAGGAGGGGTTGTATTACCAATTCTCTTTGATTTTTTAAAAAATTAGGAAAATAGATTTTCCCCAAGTTCTTAGGGACATAACTGTATATTCAAGCACAGGCAGTTTTTCTTTATGGAATTCATACAAGTATTTAAATTATTCCGATAAGGAGGTTAATGAAGTTTTGATAACGAAAATTCCCGGTATAATGAAAATTTACAAAAGAATATTCTAGTTTCATACATGATGCTGAAGTCAGAATTTTGCTGCAAGGTTCAAGTGTAATTCCACTTTAAAAAAAAAAAAAAAAAAATCTCACCTGGTGATATGTTTTTAATTTTAGAGGAAAGGAGAGAGAGAAACTGATTGGTTGCCTCCAGTACACACCCTGACCGGGGATCGAACCTGCATCCTAGGTATGTGCCCTGACTGGGAATCAAACCTGTAACCTTTTGGTGTATGGGACAGCTCTTCAACCAGCTGAGCCAGCCACACTGGCCAGGAAATCCCCTGATTTTTTTTTTTTTTTTTTTTTAATAAATGAATTTAAGTTTCAAGAGGCTGAGGTCCACAATCTAGAATGATTAAACAGAGTATAAATTAGTGAAAAGTTAGTATCTGGCATAAACTAAGCTTATTGGCTCATTTACATAATGGGAATTGTTAAAATACCTTGAGATAATGGGACCCAAAGATGAAGATATATGTGGAAGATGTTTTAGAAACCTAAGAACTGTATAAATGATAATATTATGACCTCTTATATTTTGTAGCAGTGTTTATTAATATTTTAAATTGACATGTCTTTGCTGCTGATTATTCTACTTAGATATGCAGAGTTAATCGTTTTATTTCCTGGACCTTAGGTTGCATATGCTGTCAGCTGCAAATGAGTTGTTGAAAGCTGGTGACTGTTAAAGCTGAAAGGATAATGAACAAAAAGCCCCAAGGAAGATGGAAAATGAGAAAGATTTTAAAATAGCGCTATATGTCCATGTATCTGCAAAAGTGAAGGAAGAGAGAAGCCAATAGAAAAGGGGGGACAGAGTGGCTTTCAAGAAAAAGCCCTGTAACATTGTTTGGAGGATATGAGAATTAGCAGTGAATATAATGAAAACTTTCAAATAATTTTTAATGAATCTGATTATAGATACGAATTCATATTCTTAGATGTAAAATAATTTTTTATTAGCTGGAGAGATCGTGCCATTCAGAAAGTATTATCAGAACAAAAATGGGACAGGATCACTGGAAGAGCATCATGTTGAGGGGGATTAATCATCCAGGGATTAAGAAAAATGTTTTGAGATGTTACTTAAGCCTTTTTAAGGTATCTTGTATAGGCAGGCAAAGTGCCTGTGATGTAACTGCCTCCTGCAGTTGCTGGGCTATCTTCAACTTATGAAAAGGAAAAGTATTTCTATAAATTTCAGAGTAGCCTTGGAATTCCAAAAGGAATTCTAGATCTGAATGGTCAAGATCAATATTTTTTTTTTTTCAACTGAAACCGGTTTGGCTCAGTGGATAGAGCGTCAGCCTGCGCACTGAAAGGTCCCGGGTTCGATTCCGGTCAAGGGCATGTACCCTGGTTGCGGGCACATCCCCAGTAGGGGTTATGCAAGAGGCAGCTAATCGATGATTCTCTCTTATCGATGTTTCTTAACTCTCTATCCCTTTTCCTCTCTGTAAAAAATCAATAAAATATATTTTTTTTTTAAAGATTTTTTTCAGATAAAGTTAGCAAGGCTACTGTTGAAGAGAACAGGGAAGTTTTACGAAAGAACTGGAGAAAAGAGGAAGAAAAGTTATGTAGGGGTAAGAAAAGGAAACATCCTTAGGATGCCTGAGTGCCCTGGGGTAAAAAGATGGCTTGTTCAGAAGGAACAGCCTGGGGAAGGAGGAAGACTTGGGAGCTTGACATACTAAAACTTGAGTCCCACTTTGTGTGACCTTCGTTAAGTCACTTTATTTACCTACCAGTTTTCCACCTGGCAGTGTTTTTTTCCAATGCTATTGTGAGGATTTAAAAGGTATGTATGTATATATTCCCCCCCCCCCTCACATACCCCTAGGGAGGAAATGAGAGGGAGAAACATCAATGATGAAAAAGAATCATTGATTGGCTGCCTACTGCACGCCCCCTACTGGGGAAGGAGCCTGCAACCAGGCATGTGCCCTGGACAAGGAATCAAACCTGGGACCCTTCAGTCCACAGGCTGACCCTCTCTGCTAAGCCAAACCAGCTAGGGTAAGAAGGTACTTTTAACAAGTACACACTTGATAAAGGTTTTCTTTGTATTCCGTGAAGAGGAAAGCAGACAGCCTTTCCAAAAAAGATTGAGATGAAGCTACATATCAGAACCATATATTTTATTTTTTTTATTAAATTATTATCTGTGTACATATCTTATTATTCCCCTTCCTTCCCATTTATACCCTCCCTCCCCAGAGTTTTGTGTCCATTGGTTGTACTTTTATGCATGTATACAAGTCCTTCTGTTGATCTGTTATCTCCCCCAGATCTCCCTCCCCTCCCCGCTGTAATTTGACAGTCTGCTTGTTGCTTTACTGTCTCCATATCTTTTGGTTCATCAGTTTATAATGTAGAACCATTTATTAAAAAATTGCAAGAAAATCTCATGAAATAGAATTATAGGCCTAAGGAAATAGGAAGCAGTAATGGGAAATGAAATAGTTATTGGGGAAAGAAAAAGCAATTGAAAAGTAGCATAAGCTAAGAAAATTGAAACACACATGAAGTTTACCTAAAATGGAAGCATAACAGAAGTGCATGTAAATGCTGTTAGGGAAACAACCTATGTCTAGTTTTTCTTAAGGACTTAATTTTGGCCACAGAGGCTGAATTTATATCATAGACATCATTTATATTATGTGGAGCTACTTTTCACTGAGTATTCAAAGACCCCTTGCTTCATTATGTAAAATGTATGTGTATGGAACTCATGTTCACCATTGTACAGCTGGAGCCAGACAATATTTTACGTATCAGTCAACTGTCCATCAAATATTTGTTCGATGTGTTCTCAGAATCAGGTTTGTATATATGTGATGACCACCAAGTTGGTCTTAAATCCAAAGAACAGTATCCTTATGAGACCAGAATAGTAAAAAGCCATGAGAAGATGGAAGCAAAGCCACGGACCAATCAGTGCCTGTAGCTACTAGAAGCTGAAAGAGGCATGCATTTTCCCTTAGAAGTTTCAGAGGAAGTGTGACCTTGCCAACACCACCTTAATTTTAAGTTTCTGTGAGAAAGTGGATTTTTGATGTTTTAAGCCGCCACGATTGTGATAGGAAACTAGAATACCTAGTTTTTATTTTCTGCAAGCAAATAAGCAGAAAAAAAACTACCCATAACAAAATGCAAAAAAAAATCAAAACTAAGAACTCACACAAATGTTGGGATTAGTAGGCAAGAACATTAAAAGTTACAACTGCATACCATATGTTTAAAAAGGTAAGTACAGGCATGGAAGATAATTTTTAAAATGCAAACTTGTAAAGATGAAAAATAAAATGTTAGCCCTGACCAGTGTGACTCAGTTGGAGTGTCATCCTGACCCTGAAAGGTGGCAGGTTCAATTCCTAGTCAGGGCACATACCCAAATTGGGTTCAATCTCCAGTTTGAGAGAGGCAGCTAATTGATGTTTCCCTTATTGATGTTTATCTTCCTCTTTAAAATCAATAAAAACATATTGGGTGAAGATTAAATAAAAATACAATGTTAAAAATGAAAAAAATACACACTAGTCAGTTTGGCTCAGTGAATACAGCTTTGGCCTGAGGACCAAAGGATCCTGGGTTTGATTCTGCTCAAGGACACATACCTCGTTGCAGGCTCCTGGGCCAGGCCCTGGTCAGAATATATGCAGGAGGCAACCAAGGGCGCACATGCTAGGGTTGCAGGCTTGATTCCCCAGTGTGGGTGTACAGAAGGCATCTGCTCAGTGATTCTCATCATAGATGTTTCTATCCCTTTCTCTCTGAAATCAATAAAAATATATATTCTTCAATAATACAATGGATGTGATTAATGGCAAATTAAATGTTGCAGAAGAAAATAATTTTGAAGACTAATAAAGTCTGAAGAGCATTATGAAGGTTTTAAGAAGAGGAAGAAGAAAAAGATAAAGGTAAAAAATTATGAACAACAAAAAGACATCGAATACATACCTGCCAAGAAGTGAATCTAAAAAATCAAGTGAATAAAAAATCTGAAGAACAAAATGGACTGGTGAATACAATAGAACCAGGAACATAGAAAGGGATTGGACTAAATTCTCAGGGGTAAGAGGGTCTGAGGGGTACGGGAAGAGATTGGACAAAAATCTTACACCTATAGATGAAGACAGTGGTGGGGGTAAATAAAATATATATTTGAAAAATAACAGAATGCTTAAACAAAAAAGATGTTACATATAAAATATATTGATAAAATGACAATACTCAAATATAATAAGTCTGCAGAATTAACACAATATCGAAATATAAGCTAGATATTTTTGAGGAATTGATAAGCTGATCTTAAAATACTTTATAATCCTATGAGGAATAAAGTAAATTTAAAAAGCACCAAGAAAAATTATAGAAGTGATAAGAATAAAAAAAAAAAAAAGGAATATCAGTTGGGAAGTATTGTTGGAGACTGGTGTAAGCTGACAGAATCCTTTCACCCAAAGGGACTGATAAGATTCAGTCCCCTATCTATACAAGTGTTTTTCACATGTACAAATCAGTTATTTAATGGTTTCATCACTGCCCTCACAATTCATTTTAAAGTGAGGTATTTTTATTTTAATTCCAGAGTTGTGATGACACTGGTATTATCTTCTGTAGTGTAAGTCATAACCTTCCTTTCACAAGTTGAATGTTTTTCCTATATTTTTGTTTCTGTTAAAATGAAGGATGCCTAAATAAAACAGTGTAACACAATAATATATAAGCTTTAAAATTAGCCATTATACTAACAATAGTCAAAGTATTTTCCACTCTTCTGAAAAAGAAGTGAGAGATGTTTTTTGTTTCGCTCAGATCTTAACAAATGTAATGTATTTGCTTTGCCTTTATTAACTGCTGTATTGCTACCCACTTAGAAAGTTTAATGTTTTGGTGACATTATTTTATATATGTGCCTCCTTGGAAAAGCATTTAAAATTGGATGGCCAGAGTGGCTCAGTGGTTGAGCACTGACCCATAAACCAGAAGGTCATGATTCGATTCCCAGTCAGGGCACATGCCCAGGTTGCAGGCTTGATCCCCAGTGTGAGGCATGCAGGAGGTAGCCAATCAATGATTCCCTCTCATCACTGATATGTCTATCTCTCCCTTCCTCTGTGAAATCAATAAAAAATATATTTTAAAAATGAAATGAATTACAATGATTCGTGTGCCTGTGATCTGGATTTAAGCTGGTTCTTGGTCATTTCTTAAGTTGGTCATTGCGATATTTGGCTTTAATAAGTCACTAAATAATTCTTGAAGCATAAGATGTCTTGCTGCCAGGAATTTAAAAAATTGTAAAGGTATAGCGTGGCCCTCCAATGTACCTACCAGTGTGTGCAATATGTAGTTCTCCAGAGATTACTTGCGGCACCCTCTGGGAAGGGAATCTCTCTGACCAATCATCATGGTCAGGGCGTCTCTGATTCTTCTTGGCCTTGGAACTCGTGAGTTTGCCTTCCAATACACAGGCAACTGCAGAACAGCCGCTCCATTGAACCCTGGATACTTCTTCTCTCCCAAGACGTAAAAGCCTATCCATTCTCCAAAAGGCTTTGGCAAAGGCTTTGTGTATGTTCTCACGCTTACACGGCGGTTCTTTTGTTTCTTTGTTTACAGAGAAGAGGTTTTCTAGAGCGATGTACTCTTTCCTAAACACTGTCTGGAAAGAATTGATTAATTTGTGCTCTCTAAGGGTCATTTGGTAGGAAGGATCAAATTTGGAAAGCTGATGGAGAAGTAAAACTGGGAGTTCCTTGGATGCGAAGTCTGCTGCTGTTGGACCATGATGCCCATCAAACAAACCGAAGAAGCACACATCCAGTTTACTGCCAAAATTATTCGCTATAGTGAATTTATCGTTCATGTCCACTTTCCACGTAGAATTCTTGTCAGTGCAAACGGCTGCTCCTTTAATTAATAGATGGCAGATTCTTTGTGAATGGATGGTACTATTGTGAATGTTTTCCATGATCTTATAGTACTCTGGCATTTGTTTCTTCCAAAGTACTTCTAAAGCATTATTCATGCTCTCTAGGCCTTTTTCAGTAAATGTAGAAGATGACATTAGTTTAGTAATGGTGAACTTTCTCTTACCAGCAACTGCTGAGCGTGCTGGTGTAATTCCACTCTTCCATTCAAGACCCAGTGTGGCCAGAGCGACATGTTGCTTTTTGTGGAGGAAAAATCCAGTTAGGTCAATTTCCTTCTTGCACATGGAACAGGGAAATGTGATGATCTGATCGCAGAGCTGCTGCTCTTGCTGGGTCTCAGAAAAACTCAACCGTCTTTCCTCCTTCCTTCTAAGATACTTTCTTCTCCAAAAAAGTAGGAAGTCCTCTTCAAACTCAAATTTTTTCATATTCCATTTCCTCGCTTTCCAAAATACTCTGCAAGCAGGATGAAAGATATTTACGTGCCAGGAATGATGCAGACCCTCATCTGTGCAATTTACTTTGGTTCCCCGTTATTTTATCTAGACCTACCGTGTTTCCCCGAAAATAAGACATCCTCCGAAAATAAGACCTAGCGCATGGAAAAATAAGACATCCCCAGATAATAAGATCTAGCGCATCTTTGGGAGCAAAAATTTATAAGACACTGTCTTATTTTCGGGGAAACGGTAGAATTGAATATTGGTGCATCTTTCTGTGATCCTCCCGCCCCCCCAAACACACATGCGCGTGCGCACGGCACACACACACACACACACACACACACACACACACACACACAGGAAATACTGAATAAATTGGTGATTGACCTGTGTGTGACTGAATAAAATTAGGTAAAATCTCCACAAAGTCAGCTTGACATCTAAGAACAAATACTCAGAGAAATCAGCACAATAGTGAATCCTAGGCATCTGGAGGAGGTACATGCTTAAGACCTAGGAATTTGATTTCAGAATATGAGCATAATTACTTTTGTACTCTATTTTGTCTTGCTTAAAACACTTTTGTCCTAATTAAAGGGTTTGCATGAAAATGAATGGAAGATGCTAAAACCAGACTGATAGTAAGAACAAAATTTTTTAGGACCAATAGGAAAGAGGCACAGGCTGAAGAAAGGAAAGAAAGGTGTGGAGCTGGATGATAAATTTCTGGAGAGATGACACCTTCCTATCAGAAGCATCTAGAACAGTATTCAGCACCTGGGGACATTTCTGTCCATTTTATGCACAATTCCTAGGGCATGGAATCTTTACAAAGACCTATGGAGACCTGAAAAAAAATGCTTTGGTTATAAAATATTTTAAAATGCTTATTATGAAATGTGGCACTTTGAAAATTAGAGAACTTCAACTCATTCAAAACATAAATTATGTTTGATATGAGTGCATTTAGTGTATTAGACATGATGAAGGGTAGGGCCTACAAAAATAATGCCTGGAGCCCATAGGGACTTAAAGCATCCAAGGCATCATAATAGGTATTTAAGAATGTTGAGCTGAAACCGGTTTGGCTCAGTGGTAGAGCGTCAGTCTGCGGACTGAAAGGTCCCAGGTTCGAATCCGGTCAAGGGCATGTACCTTGGTTGCGGGCACATCCCCAGTAGGGGGTGTGTAAGAGGCAGCTGGTCGATGTTTCTCTCTCATCGACGTTTCTAGCTCTCTATCTTTCTCCCTTCCTCTCTGTAAAAAATCAATATAATATTTTTTTAAAAGATAAAAAAAAGAAAAGAATGTTGATGGTTGAGATAAGAAATGAGCCCATTTAGCCCTGGCTGGTGTGGCTCAGTTGATTGAGCATCCTTCCATGCAGTGAAAGGTAACTGGTTTGATTCCCAGTCAGACCACATGTCTGAATTGCAGGTTCAATTCCCAGTAGGGAACATGTAGGAGGTAGCCGATCCATGTCTCTCACATTGAGATATATATATATATATATATTTAAAAAGAATGTTTTCTGTAATAGAGCAACATAAAAAAAAAAAAAAGTCCCAAATCTTTCCAAAAAGCTGAACTTATTTAAAACGCCACAGTATGCAGGACAAATTGTTAAAAAGCAGGACTTCTGGTCACCTTAAGCTTAGGACTGTCCCAGGACAGTGCCTACCGGTGGCCTAACCCTTGATCGAGCTAGGAATGGCATTATGAGACATGAGAAGCTGACCTAGAAAAACTCACAATTGAGAGAAATCAGGAAGATGTCCAAAATAAATCCAAGGGAAATACCAGGTAGTAGCAGCAGGAGGAAGAAGACCTAGCAAACGAAATGGAAAGGTAAATAGAGAAGCAGGGGAAGAGAATGGAAGCCAGCAAGTTTTTAAGCTCTTCTGACCAAAATGTATATTCAATATTTTAATTGCTATTATTTGGTGATATGCTGGTAAATTATACCTTTTTTTTTTTTTTAGCCTTGATGAACTACTGGAGTAATATATATATAAGGCATCCTAATATTATTTTTAAAAATAATTTTATTGATTTTAGAGAGGAAGGAAAAGGGAGAGAGAGAGAGAGAAACATTAATGATGAGAGGGAATCATTGATTGACTGCTTCCTGGATGCCTCCACTAGGGCATGTGCTCTGACCAGGAATTGAACCGTGACCACCTGGTTCATAGGTTGGCACTCAACCACTGAGCCATGCCAGCCAGGCCCATATATATACCTCACCTCAATCTTTTATATCAGAACTTTATTTTTCAGTATATAAAGGACATCCATAATACGGTTCTCTCTCACATGAAGTCATTCTTAGAATATAATGTGTCATTTATATGTTCATTCACTCATTCAACAATTACTTGAGTGTCTGCAATATCCCAGATTCTGTTTTCTTTCCTGAGGGTACAGCAGTGAACAAAATAGTCATGGAGTGAGAAGATGCTCATATTCAGATATGAGAGACAGAAAATAAATAAAGGGCACATGTAAACATCTATCAGACAGAGGTAAGTACTATTATGAAAAATATAAGTTCAGAGTATAGAGAGCGATGGAAGCCCTGTTTTGCATAAGGTAATCAAAGGAAGATATCCCTCTTTCATGTGCACACCTAACAGGCAGCCTAGGTTTATTTTATTTCTAAGAAAGTGGAGGTCAAAGAATATTGGAACTATAATTGTTCATACATTACATTTGTTGTTCAGTAAAAATGAAGAAAGTTTACCTGAAAGCGTTCGTTTTCAAATCCTTCGACATTGTTACCTTTCTGGGGACTGTCTTTGTCACCTTCCCTAGCTTCTATTCCTCCAACTTGGGTGGAGATGCAATGGTAATAATGCAAAGGTGATGGCAGTGGTATGGGTCTACTGCATCAATGTGTGGAATGTTTGCGACATCACCTGGAACTTCAGTCAGAGCTCACTTTATGAGTTAAGCAGTTGGGTCACAAATTGTATTAACAAACTATTCTTCAAAATTTCTGAAAGAAGGATTATTCATCAAATATCCTGTCTATGCCTGCTTAATGAGATAAAAACAAAATAAGCAGAGTGACTATCAAGTAAATGTTTGTGTTGTTGTTTTGTTTTGTTTTCCTTCTAAGTTGTGGTACTTTCAAAATAGTGATTCCAGGAGTCTCCTCTTCTTCCTCTCTTCCTCTTCTCTCTTTCCCTCTTCTTCTTCTCCTGCATGCCCCACCTCCCCCAATCTGGGGATCAAGCCTGCAACCCAGGCATGTTCCCTGACCAGGAATTGAGCTATGACCTCCTGGTTCATAGGTCTATGCTCAAACCACTGAGCCATGCTGGCCTGACAAGGCTCTTCTTTATATACAAATTGCCTTCCCACTAATATATCTCTCAGGCTGTCTCAGGCCATCTCTCCCACCTTCCCTGTAAGACTGGCCAATCCATCTTGCTGTTTTAAGTCCCTGCCTGAAAGTTATAGACTTTTTTTTGGACTTTTTGTTTCTTGAGCCTGCCATCACTCCTGGCCAATATCTTTAGTCTGTAGGTTCTTAATCTGGATCTGCCTTTCACTCTTTCACCCCAGATTAGATTAGATGATTAGATTAGAACTGGAGTCCTAAATCAGTTTTCTTGCACATTGAAGAAATCTAGACAAGCTCAAGTGCTTACTGGACATCTCCATGGGGATGTATCACAGTCAATTCAAAGTCAACATGTCCAAAATGGAATTTACTACCTTTCCTCCAGAATTTCCTCTCACCATTAGCTTGGGCAGGCTGGAAACCAAATTTCCCAGAAACCCTTCCCTATGCGGTTCCAGGTTAGAGTTGGCCAAGAAAGGAATTTGGGAGCACTCCTGAATGCCATCATGATTCAATGAGATGACCCACAGATGCGGAAGTGCCTCGTGGGTCCCAGCTTGTTCTTGCTCCCTCCACTCTGCATTCAGCTCTTCCTCCAGACTGCAGGTCCTGCACACCAATAGCTGCCCCAGATCCATCAGCAGAGGCCTGCCTTGGGACCGACCAAGGCAAATACTTCCTTTAGACTTCTCCATCAGCCTCGCCTTTGTGGTCCTACATCCTTGGATGCGGTGTGTACATCCTTGGCTTCTCAGGCTGGCTGGTTGGGGACTTCACTGGTCCTCCAGCTCCCCTCCCCAGATGTCCAATTGCCCAGCTCCTCCTACAAACGATGTAAGGTCTATTTGCAATGTCAAATTCTTTATTTCATCATTCCTAAGATCCAGCTCTCCTAATTGAACACTGACTGAAACAGGTGCCACCATTCCCACCACCCTGTCCTCTCTCTCAGGATATATGCTAATCATAAGGCCCACCAGATCTCTCTCTTCAATATCCCTCTGATCACCCACTTGTCTCCTTTACCAGTAAGCCTAGTTAAGCTAAGCCTAAGCCTAGTTAAACCTAAGCCTAGTTAAGTCTAAGCCTAAGCCTAGTTAAGCCTAAGCCGAGTTAAGCTTAAACTTAAGCTTAAGCCTAAAACTAAGCCTAGTTAAGCCTAAGCCTAAGCCTAAGCCGAGTTAAGCTTAAACTTAAGCTTAAGCCTAAAACTAAGCCTAGTTAAGCCTAAGCCTAAGCCTAGTTAAGCCTAAGCTTAAGCCTTGTTAAGCCTAAACCTAAGCCTAGATAAGCCTAAACCTAGTTAAGCCTAAGCCTAGTTTAGCCTAAGCCTAGTTAAGCCTAAGCCTAGTTAAGCCTAACCAAATCCTAGTTAAGCCTAAGCCTAGTTAAGCCTAAGCCTAGTTATGCCTAAGCCTAGTTAAGCCTAAGCCTAGATAAGCCTCAGCCTAAGCCTAGTTAAGCCTAACCAAATCCTAGTTAAGCCTAAGCCTAATCCTAAGCCTAGTTAAGCCTAAGCCTAGTTAAGCCTAAACCTAGTTAAGCCTAAGCCTAGTTAAGCCTAAACCTAAGCTTAGTTAAGCCTAAGCCTAAGTGTAAGCCTAGTTAAGCCTAAGCCTAAGCCTAGTTAAGCCTAAACCTAAGCCTAATTTTTAAAAAATTTTAAATTAAATTATCTGTGTACATATACCATACCATCATTGTCTCATGGTACCAAACTCCTTTGCCTGACTTACTCCTA